ATCACACAACCAGAGCAGACAAGCTCCCTGCCTTGATGGGCCTTGCATTCTGGTAGAAGGGAGAGGCAATTAATAGATAAATATAAAATACGTCAGGGTATCTGTCATGAGAAGTGCCGTCAGAGGGTGAGCAGTGTTTTATATAGGATTTCGGGAAGGTTTCTCCATCAAGGTGATATCTGCATAGAGACCTTACAGGGTGAGTGACAAGCAGAAAGCATATCCTGGGGAGAACGTTCCAGGCAGAGTGAACAACTGGTGCAAACGTCCTTCCAGAACATGCCTGGTATGTTTAAGGACTAGCAAGGAGGCCAGGGTGGCCAGAGGTGAACAAAGAAGGGAGACAGTGCAAAAATGATGTCAAAGAGCTAATGGGGGCTGGACTGTATACAGCTGAGCTTTCCAATATGGTAGCCACTAGTCAAATGTGGCTGTTAAGCACTGAAAATGTCGCTCTGAAATGAGATGTGCAGTAGGTGTAAAATATACACTGGATTTCGAAGGCTTTGGAGAATAAAAAGCATGTAAAACATTTCATTAATAATTTCTGCATAGATTATATGTTTAAATGATAATCTTTTTGCTATATTGGGTTAAACAAACCATATTATTAAAATTGGTTCCACCTGTTTGTTTACTTCTTTTATGTGGCTACTAAAAAATTTAAATGACATATGTGGCTTGTATGATATAGGGTATTATAGGCCACAGTATGGAATTTGGCATTTACCCTGAGCAATATGGGAAGTAAATAGAAATGAACATAAAGTATTCAGCATATTTCCCAGAACAGAGTGGAAAAAGTTTATAAAACTAGAATTCCATTCCCAGACAAATTGCTCAAATGTAAATGCAAAGAAAGATATTTGGGGAGAAGACATTAGATTCAAGAAAGAATAATAATAAAGTTAGTAAATGTTTAGTTCAAATAACTGTTTAGAATGTAGGGATGAAGTTTAATAAAATTGGCAAGGAATGATTATTGAAATATGAAACATAAAGTAAAATAAAAAAGAATCTGACAGATAAAACTGGATACATTCCCAAATTCCCAATGGGTCAGAGAAAAACAGGCAAAAGAAACAAGTGTTTCATTTCAGCCATCCTCCTAGATGTAAACTTTATGCTTTTTAATTTGCATTGCCATGTTGCCAATGAGGTTAAATACTTTTCATGTGCTTACTATTGGTGTATCTCCTTTTGTGAAGTGCCTGTTGAAGACTTCTGCTTATTATATTTTTTTTTGTAGAGTTGTCCTTTTATTTCCTATTGATTTGTAGGTGTTCAGACATTCTAGATAAGAACCCTTTGTTAGGGGCACCTGGGTGGCTCAGTCGGTTAAGCGTCTGCCTTCGGCTCAGGTCATGATCCCAGGGTCCTGGGATCAGGCTCCCCGCTCCGCGGGAGGCCTGCTTCTCCCTCTACCACTCCCCCTGCTTGTGTTCCTGCTCTCGCTGTGTCTCTCTGTCAAATAAATAAATAAAATCTTAAAAAAAAAGAACCCTTTGTTAGATGCATGCATGCTGGATGTTCTTCCAAACTGTGGTTTGCCTTTGTGTTCTTTCTTGGTGCCTTTAAATCACAATCAACATTCTGATTGTGGGGAGTCTGCTTCTCCCTCTCCCTCTGCCTCTCTCCCTGCTTGTGCTCTCTCTCTCTATATATCTCTGTGTCTCGAATAAATAAAAAATCTTTAAAAAAAGTCCTTCTATTTGGAGGGGGAGACGAACCATGAGAGATGATGGACTCTGAAAAACAAACTGAGGGTTCTAGAGGGGAGGGGGATGGGGAGATGGGTTGGCCTGGTGATGGGTATTAAAGAGGGCATGTTCCGCGTGGAGCACTGGGTGTTATGCACGAACAATGAATCATGGAACACTACATCAAAAACTAATGATGTAATGTATGGTGATTAACATAACATTCTGAATTTTAAGATTTTTTATTTATTTATTTTTATTTTTAGAGAGATAGAGAGAAAGCAGGGGGAGGGGCAGAGGGAGAGGAAGAGAGAAAATCTCAAGCCAACTCCGCACTGAGTATGAAGTCCAAAGGGGCTTGATCCCACAACCCTGAGATCACAGCCAGAGCTGAAATCAAGAGTTGGATGCTCAACCAACCCAATCACCCAGGCACCCCAACAATCAACATTCTAAATTTTAAGGTAATCCAAATTTTTCCATCTTTTCCTTTATGGTCGGTACTTAGTGAGTCTTGTTTTAAACAGTCTTTGCCTGAGCTGAAGTTAGGGAGATATGCAATCTTTAGGAAGCTTTATATTTACCTTTCCTATTTAAGTCTATGATCCTTCTCTAGGTTTGTCTATGGTGTAAAGCAGGGGTAACGGATCATTTTTCTTCATATGGATATCCAACAGACCTATCACCCTATATTGAAAAGTAATCCCTCCCCTGACTTGCAATGTCACTTTTGTAATAAATCAAGTGACAATACATATGTAGATCTGTTTGGAGCTCTTTATTCTGTTCCCTTGATCTATTTATCCATCTTTGTGCTCATACCATAGTTTGTTAATTATTGTGGCTTTAAGGTAAGTCTTGAGAATTGGTATGTAAATTCTCCACTTTGTTCTTTTCCTTCAAGATCATTTCAGCCCTTCCCAGTACATCCACATTTTAGAATAGGGCTGCCAATATCTCTCCCTCTCAGTCTCTCTCTCTCTCTCCCTCCCTCTCTGTCTGTCTCTCTCTGTCTCTTTCTCTCACACACAAATATACAACAGCTAAGCAATGTTAGTGACAAAGTAAATAATTAGAAACTTAAAATTTTTCATATCCATGCACCCATACTGATACAAATTAGTGAATAAATAAATGAGAGAAGGTGTCCAGCTTTTCCTTACAGAAGAATTTCAAGTAGTAAAAATAGAAGGATTTTTTTCTCCCAATATTTTTTCTCTTTAAATTTTTTTATTGTTATGTTAATCACCATACATTACATCATTAGTTTTTGATGTAGTGTTCCATGATTCATTGTTTGTGCATAACACCCAGTGCTCCACGCGGAACGTACCCTCTTTAATACCCATCACCAGGCCAACCCATCTCCCCACCCCCCTCCCCTCTAGAACCCTCAGTTTGTTTTTCAGAGTCCATCATCTCTCATGGTTTGCCTCCCCCTCCGAATAGAAGGATTTTTTTAAAGATTTTTTTATTTATTCGAGACACAGAGATAGAGAGAGAGAGCACAAGCACAGAGAGAGGCAGAGGGAGAGGGAGAAGCAGACTCCCCACTGAGTTGGGAGCCCGACGTGGGACTCGATCCCAGGACCCCAGGATCATGACCCGAGCCGAAGGCAGACACTTAACCAACTGAGCCACCCAGGTGCCCCAGTAAAAATAGAAGGATTAAGGAAAATACAAAATCACCGTTAGTACACCATAGCAATAACTGCTACAAGCAAAATCCATTGATGAATGCTAAAATCGTGGGCAAAAGTTCAAGGAAAAACAGGATATTTGCTTATACTTGACATATCTCTCCCAAAATATTTATTAATTACTGTGGTGGTTAACAGATGTCCACAAATTCTTTTTTTTTTTTTTTTAGTATTTCTTTTTTTAAAGATTTTATTTATTTATTTATTCATGAGAGAGAGAGAGAGGCAGAGGGAGAAGCAGGCTCCCAAGGAGCAGGGAGCCCAATGCGGGACTCGATCCCAGGACCCCGGGACCATGACCTGAGCCGAAGGCAGACGCCCAACCATCTGAGCCACCCAGGTGCCCCACAAATTCTTTTAATACTCCTCCTTTAGAACAGGGAGCTTCTCTCCTCCCCCTGAGTGTGAACTGGACTTAGTGACTGGCTTCTTTTTTTTTTTTTTTAGATTTTATTTATTTATTTCTGAGAGAGAGAGAGAGAACACAAGCAGGGGGAGTGGCAGGCAGAGGGAGAGGGAGAAGCAGGCTCCCCGCTGAGCAGGGAGCCCGATGTGGGACTCGATCCCAGGACCCTGAGATCATGACCTGAGCCGAAGGCAGATGCTTAACCGACTGAGCCACCCAGGCATCCCTAGTGACTGACTTCTAACAAACAGGTATGGAAAGGGGAAAATAGTAACTTTGTATGGAGGAAGCCCAGCAAACAGCACCCTAACAAACCAAGTGATCGCAATTAATGTCACTAAGAAGACATATTGACATCATGCATCCCCAAAAACATGCCATGAGGAGGAAATATCACCTCCGTATTCTTGTCCAAAATCCAGAACCTCATACTCTACTCATCAGAAAATCTCAGAGAAAGCCAAATCAAGGAACATTGTAAAAAAAATAACTGGCTGCTTCTCTTCAGAAGTGTCAAGGCCACAAAAGAAAAAGAAAGATTAGGGAATGTCACAGACTGGAGGAGACTAAGGATGCATGACAACTAAGTGCAATGTGATATCCTGGACTGGATCCTGGAACGGGAGAAGAACATGGGTGGAGAAACTGCTGAAATTTGGCCGAAGTCTGGAGTGTGGTTAATGGCAATGTGCTGATGGTAATCTTACTTTTGATAAAGACACCAGGGCTATATGAGATGCTCACCGTAGGAGAAGCTGGGTGAAGGGCAGACAGGAACTCGCCGTGTCTTTACAACTCTTTTGTAAATCTACAGTTATTTCAAAATAAATAGCTATGACAAATTTTCTGGAAGGTTCTTCATCAGTCTCTTCAGAGTAGTTATCAGGTAAATTTATATAAACAGGTCCATATTCTATTTATACCTTCTGGAGTGTGGCTTTTTTTCCCCTTCTTTTTGAAAAATAGCATTTATAATGGAACATGGTTCTCCTTGGATTTTTTAAAAGCCACTCTGGGAACCAGATGTGGAGAAAAGATGGCTCAAAAGCTGACCCAATAAGAGAGACTGTCTTTGCTTGGGGATGGAAGCACCAAGAACTTGCAGCACGTTTTGAGTAAGTCAAGGTACTCCTTTGACCTCACGTGTGTTTAAGGCTTGAGGGGATAATAACAACACAGAATATGGTTACTCACCAGGGCGACTTTCCTTTGTGGTTTCAGCAGCTTCGGTTTATGGAATGTGGTAGCTATGGGAGCTGTGGAAGGATGTCAAGGGTTTAGCTTGCATTTCCTCCAGGACTCGTAATGCCCACGTAGCGTAAGCATCACAAACATACTCTGTGGAGACTCACGCACCCCTTCCTGCCCCCACGGAAGAAGTTCAGTTTCTGATCTAGGCACCACTGGGTGCCCCTCCATGGAGAGCAATCCTCCCCTAGGCTTTGGACGTGTCATAATCTACCAACAGCAAGGTCAATGAAACAACTCTGCATAAAACACTGCCAGCTACCAAGAGGTCAGGTGTGCAGGTGAGAACCAGGTATGTTTGGTAAAGCCTGAGGCCGGGAACTTCCCTGGGTTTCATCCTAACTACACAGTAACAGTTAAAGCAGTGACCCTGACCCTCACAGCAGCCCTCAGAGGTCATCAGGAAGACGGGTCTTATTGTCCCC